AGCATAATACACAGAGGTGCATATTGTTGGTTATCTTGCCAGAATTCATTCTCCCCGTCATCCTTCTTAACAGAACCTCAACTTTGTTTAGGTGCTTCCTTATGCAGCAAATGGAATAAAAGGATTCGGACCCCAGAGGTGGACTGATTAGTATAAGCCAGCCCATGATTAATTCAAGAATGAGCATATGACTGCATTTCAGCCAATAAGACAAGGAGATGGCTGCTGAAAACTAGCAAAGTTCTTTCTTGGTCTTAAGAGACCAAGGAGAAGTTCATGTCTCTTACTTGCTGTATATCAAAAGAAGCTGCAGTACTTCTGGAACCATCTTGAAACGATGAGGGAAAGCAGACTGAGGGAAAGCATAAGAATGGAAGAACCAAGACAGTTGAAGAGAAATGGATTGAAAGCCCTGACCATACTGCACCTGAGGTCTACACTACTATTAGGCATCTAACCATATGAGGCTTATTGTTAACCAATTTGACAATGGTGTCTGATATTGCAATCTAAAACCCACTAATACATATACCCTCCAGTGTATGAAAACATGCCCTTTTCTCTGGTGAGATTTCTCTATTTGTACTTCTATGATGAGTATATTTTCCTTTATCACCATAAGTTGTTAAAATAGCTGGTTTTAAAATCTTTATCTGCCAAATCCAACATCAGAGTAATTTTGATGTTGGTCTCCATTGACTCTCTTTTTTAAAAAAAATATATTTTATTGACTTCTGCTAAGGTGGAGGCATAGGTGGAGACACCATACTTTCTCCCACAACCAAGTTTAGAGACAACAAAATATTAGCAACAGAAAACACAGCCAGAACACAAAAAATTGACCTTTTCAGAAGTCCGATAACGAATGCTTCAGCCTGACCAGTAAGAGACGTGAAACCAGCAGCTGGCAGAGCAGGGTTACACAGGAAAACTTGGTCAGATGGACTCAGGCACACGGATCCCAGGCATGGGGCTGCAAAGGGCCAACCCAGTGAGCGACCTAGTGAGTGAGACCCAGTGAGCGACCGGAGGATCCAGGGAGGGTGAAGGGCAGAGAGTTGACTGTGCTGGCGCATTCCTGCACAGATAGACTGGTGAGGGAGTGGGTCCCAGGGATGGGATGCGACAGAGACGACCACCATTTCCCGGCTCTGACCCCGCCCCCACATACAGCATCACAACCCAGCAACCTGGGCAGCCCCACCCTGGAGAACATCTAAGGCTCTGCTCCTCATACTTAACAGGCACAAACAGATCAAAACATGGCTCAAGAACAACTCAGAGCCCCAGAGCCCATAACTCTAAGTGACGAAGAAATAGCAAAACTTTCAGATACACAGTTCAAAACATTGGTGATCAGGATGCTCACAGAACTGGTTGATTTTAATCACAAATTAGAGAAACATATGAAGGCTGAACTAATTGAAATGAAGGGAAATGCACAGGAAACCAATAGTAATGGAAAGGAAACTGGGACTCAAATCAATGGAGTGGACCAGAAGGAAGATAAAAACGACCAACCAGAAAAGAATGAAGAAACAAGAATTCAAAAAAACGAGGAGAGACTTAGGAACCTCCAGGACATCTTTAAATGTTTCAACATCTGAATTATAGGGGTGCCAGAAGGGGAAGAGGAACAGCCATGAGTGGAAAACTTACTTGAACAAATAACAAAGGAGAACTTTCCCAATCTGGCAAAGGCAATAGACTTCCAGGAAATCCAGGAAGCTCAGAGAGTCCCAAAGAAGTTGGACCCAAGGAGGAACACACCAAGGCACATCATAATTATATTAGCCAAGATTAAAATGAAGGAGAGAATTCTAGAAGCAGCAAGAGATAAGGGGACAGTTACCTACAAAGGAATTCCCATCAGACTGTCAGCGGATTTCTCAAAAGAGACCTTATAGGCAAGAAGGGCTGGAAAGAAGTATTCCAAGTCATGAAAGGCAAGGACCTACAACCAAGATTGATCTATCCAGCAAAGCTTTCATTTAGAATGGAAGGACAGATAAAGTGCTTCTCAGATGAAGTCAAATTCAAGGAGTTCATAATCACCAAGCCCTTATTATATGAAATGTTAAAGGGACTTATTTAAGAAAAATAAGATAAAAAAAGGTGAACAGTGAATGGACAGCAAACTCATAGTTATTAACAACCACACCTAAAACAAAAGCAAACTAAGATGATAGCTAGATCAGGAGCAGAACCATAGAAATGAAGATCACATGGAGGGTTAGCAACAGGGGAGTGGGAGAAGGAGAAGGGGGGAGAAGGTACAGAAAATAAGTAGCATAGATGGTAGGTAGAAAATAGATAGGGGGGAGGGCAAGAATAGTAGGGGAAATATAGAATCTAAAGAACTTGAGACACGTGGTCATAAACTAAAGGGGGGAGTGGGGGGGAGGGGGTATGCAGGGTAGAGGGGAATGAAGGGGGAAAATAGAACAACTGTAATGGCATTATCAATAAAATATATATATATATTTTTTAATATTTTATTTATTTATCTTTAGAGGGGAAGGGAAGGAGAGGGGGAGAGAAACATCAATGTATGGTTGCCTTTTTGTGTGTCCCCTGCTGGGAACTGGCCTGCAGGGAACCGGCCTGCAACCCCAGCATGTGCCCTGACTGGGAATCGAACCGCAATTGTCTGGTTCGCAGGCCCGCGCTCAATCCACTGAGCTACACCAGCCAGGGCAAATATATTTTTTAAAAAGTCAAAAAAAATTGTATTATTTCTGGAGCTTTGATCTGTTGTTCCTTTTCAGCCATTATTTTTTGTCTTGTCACACGTGTTATGTATGAGGGGCAGGTGTTCACCAGGGCAGGGCAACCCAATCACCGGGTTGTGACACTTTATGTGGGGGCAGGGTCTGAGAGGAAACAATGGTGCTTGCTCCTCCACTCTCTCTTGGATTTCAGTCCTTTCCGCCACTTCTCCCCAGCAAACTGGGCTTTTCTGGTGCTGATTCACATGTGGGTGGGTTTCTGTGCATTCTAGGACCCTGTGGGTCTCTCCAACGAACTCTCTTGTGAGGCTGGGAGTCTCTCCCTGCACCTCAACCCTCCCAGGTATTTTCAGTGTCTTGAGGCTTTATTTCCTAGTGTTAGGACCCTGGGTTTCGTGATCTGTCTCCCTGCCCAGTTATCTGCATGGAAATGTGGGACCACTGCCTGGTCAGCCAGCTGCCTTACACATGGTACCCCACTTCTCAGTCACCACCTTGCTGGGTCTGCCTGTTGCTACGCCACACCAGGGGTCTGCCCAGTGCTGTCTTGTACACCCAGGGTGCCTTGTGTGCTCGGTGTCACTGCATCCTGTGCTGCCGGACTCCTCCCCACCTACCGGTCTGGATGAATGTGTCTATTTCAGCTCCTTGGCTGTCCGGCTTCCATACAGTTCAATTTTCTGTCAGTTCTGTTTGTTATGTTGCTTCTAAATTTTTGTCACCCTTATTTTGATTGTGCGAGGAGGCACAGTGCATCTATCTACACCTCCATCTTGGCCGAAGTCGTTAATTCGAGTCTCTTTTTTCTTGAGTATGGAATCACATCATCCTATTTCTTCTACGTCTAGAAAATTTTGAATTTATATAGGCATTTAAAATAATACATTGTCATTGTAGAGGTTCTTGATTCTGATATACATTCCTCTGAAGAGTGTTAATTTTTTTTAACTTGAATAAACTCAGTGTCTAAACTCTGCCTCTCCTGCAGTGAACAGCTAAAGTCTCTGTTCAGTACTTCTCACCTCAGTTGGGCTGGTTGGTGCCTCCCTCAAGTGAAGATTCCAAGTAGGTAACTAGCTAGATACATGGATTTGGAGCTCAGGAATAAGGTTTCAACTACAGATAAAAGATTGAGAAGAATCAGCATATAGTTAGCAAATGAAATCACTCAGGCATACAGGTAGGAGAAAGGAGAGTATATCAGTTTGTCAGGGTGGCATAACAAAGTACCACAGACTGGGCCACTTAAACAACATAAATTTATTTCCTCACAGTTCTGGAGGTTGGGAGTCCAAGATCAAGGTGTTGGTAGAATAGCTTTCTTCTGTGTCTTCTCTGGTTGGCTTGTAGATGGCTGTCTTCTCCCTATGTCTTCCTTCTGTGTCCATCTGTGTCCAAATGTCCTCTTCTTACAAGGATACCAGTCAGATTAGGGCCCACCTCAATAACCTCACTGTAACCTTTTAATTGCCTTTTTAAAGATTTTTATCTCCAAATACATCACAAGATAATGTACTGGGGGCTAGGACTTCAACATATGAATTTGGGAGGACCCACAATGCAGCCCATAACAAAAAACATTTACAAAGGCCAAAGCAACCCCAACATTTGAAGGTCAGGAAGTAGAAGAGAAGACAGCAAAACAGACTAGAAAAAATTTGCCATAAAGGTAGGAAGGTAATCAGGAGGGTGTCCCAAAGGCCAAAGGAAGAAAATTTCCAGGAGGGCATGGTCAACAATGTCAAACGCTGCTATGGGGTTAAACTTGTAGGACTAAACGATACCCAATGGATTTAGTGAAAGACAAACCACTGGCAACTTAGATGAGAATGCTGTGCATTGGCACAGTGGGGTGAAAGTCTGACTGAAATACAGCAGGCAGTGAATAAGAGAAGCAGATAGAGGCTTCTAATTTCTCTGGACTTGGAAACTGAGAGGAAAGAATAGGAAAGAGGTAAAGCTTCATTGCATCACTTATTGCAGATTGGCTCATGAAGCCCCTACTTCATCCCCTGCTAGCTAGCTTCCTTTACTCTACTATATTCATTAATCCATTGAATTAATATTTATTACATGTCTAATAACAGTGCCATACACTGTTTTAAGAGCTGGTGTACATCTATGAACAAAACAAATATCTCTGCTTTGATGGAGCTTAAAAGAGACAGCGTGTAAGCATTAAACACAACAATAATAATAAATATAATTATACATGAATAATAAATTACAAAACTATATAGTATATTAGAAGGTATAAGTACTTTGAAAAAAGAAAAAGTGAAAAGAGTAGGGGGAAGGGGAATTCCAGGAAATGGGAAGGGAGGAAAGTTGCAGTATTAAATATCAAATGATACATTTAATGAAAAATATCCAAGATTTCTACACTTAAAACCGCCAGTCAAATAAATATTAAAAGAGCAAATACATGAAGAGATGTACCACTGTGTGGGTTTTTCTACACCAACAACCAACTCTCCAAGTCTGTGGACACCAACTGGGTATCCAATTCCCACTGAATTATCTGATTCAATCCTGACAGTAAATGCCCTGAGTTAGTACCCGACTCCACCGCTTAGTGGCTCAGCCTGCCCTGACTTCAGACACCAATCGAAAGTCCCAGACCTCCCATACTTCTGACCAACCTGTAATAAATAAATCAATGAATGGTTGCCACACACTGCTCCTCAGGTTCAATTATTTGCTACAACAGCTCACAGTACTCAAGAAAGCACTCTACTTACAATTACTTATTTATTATAAAGGATCTTATAAAGAATACAAATGCACAGCCAAATGAAGGAGTACAAAAGCCAAGGTCCAGAAGGGTTTCAGCATAGGAGTTTCTGATCCCAGGGAGCTAGGGCGCACCACTCTCCTAGCAGGTGGATGTGTTCAGCAACCTGGAGGCTCTCTGAACCTCCTAGTTTAGGGGTTTTAATGGAGGCTTCGTTAAGTAGGCATGATTGATTAAATCATTGGCCATTGGTGATCTCCAGTCCTTCTCTCCTTCTAGGAGTTCAGGGGTGGGGGAAAGCCAAGAGTCTCAACCCTCTAGTCATGCCTTGGTCTTTCTGGGAACCAACCCCTCTGAAGCTCTCTAGGGGCCCCAAGTCACCAGTCATCTCATTAGCATACAAAAAAGGTACTCCTAGCACTCTGGAGAAGTTTTTGTGGCAAAAACCAGGAATGAAGACCAAATATGTACTTCTTGCTACATCACAATATCACAACCGAGTTCATGCATTGAAAAACTGAGTATTGTTAAGACATTTGTCCTCCCCAAATCGGTTAAGATTCGATGCAATCACAATCAAAATCTTAATCTAACTTTAAAATGTATATGCAAATAAAAAATTCTGGAATAGCCAAGATAATCTAAAAAGAAAAAATGCAAAACAAACTTGGGAGAATTTCAAAACTTACTATAAAGCCACAAAAACATATCCATCCCCATAAATGTCAAGGTCTCCCTCATGTTCAACTGAGACCTGTACGTCTAATTCCCACATACCAAAGCATCCTTTATGCAGTGAGAGGACATCATAGAAATAACCTAAGTTCAGTCAAAGCACACATTAACTAAATACTCTCATGGTATCATCTGGGAATTCTGTGGGCAGTATAGAACACAACCAAAGTGTTGAGTTCTTGATCTCAGAGGAAAATTATTGACCTACTGTAGCGTAACTGTCAATTCTCTTTACCTTAATCCAATACTTCTCAAAGTGTTTTACTTGGTATTGGTGTTTCATGAAAAGGAAGGAAAGAAGCAAGGAAGGAGGATGGGAGGGAGAGAAGGAAAAAGAGAGGGAGTCATTTCTTAACCAAGTAAGATTGGGAATTGCTGAGTTCAACAAACTTTGATTTTATTGTTGCAGGACTTCTTAGAACTTTTAACATGATAATGTACACCATAAGTCTCCAAGATGGCAGAGAGCAGACTCTTGTGTTTGAAATCCTTCTAAAAATAACTGGTGTTCAATGGAATAACATACTTTGAGAAATGCTCTCTGGCCAATGGGGAAATGCCGCAAATATAAATTCATTATTTTTCTCTGACTCAAGAGGGAACAGCTAGTCTTCAAGCTTATTAAGGTGAACTTTATAGTTTAAGTAATATAAATGTCTACTTTTTAATTAAAAAAGAATAGAATTAAGAGCTAGTAGGTATACCCTCTTCTAAATAACTGTGTGACCTTGGGAAAGGATCACTTTAATACTTTCTAATCCTATTTTTTTGCTACCACTGCAAAAGCAGAAATCCCCTGGTCACAGAGTCCTTTGTGGTGGCAGAATTTAAATGAATTTGAATGACACTGAATTAAAGAGAATACAAATATTAGGGTGGAAATCCCCAGACTATCCAGTTAGAAATTCCCTCCAATTGTTCTGATTCTTGCTGTTGGCACATGGACCACAGTTTGACGTTGAGCTTCCTCCCAGTGTTCCCACAGGCAGAGCAAGGTCAAAGGTGCACATTGCTGGGACAAAGCCACCAAGACTGGGGCAAATCAGCCAAGGCAAAGAGAAAAGGCGCACTCTGTAGATCTTCCCACCCACAGCAGTGCTCATTCAATAGTCCCCTTGTCAACTAGTCCTATGGGGAGAAAGGGGCAGAGAGGGATCTTTAAGAACCTGAAGTTATATTCAGCATTATTCACAATAGCCAAGGTTTAGAAGCATCCCAAGTGCCTATCAGTGGATAAGTGGATAAAACAGCTGTGGCACATTTGCACAATGGAATACTACTCAGCCATAAAAAAGGAACTCTCAACTTTTGCTGTAGCATGGATGGACCCAGGGAGTATTATGCTAAGTGAAATAATCCAGTCAGAGAAAGACAAATACCATATGTTTTCACATATATGTGGAATCTAATAAACAAAACAAGGAAACAAAATAAAAACAGATTCATAGATAAAGAGAACTGATGACTGACAGCTGTGAGAGAGGAGAGAGCTGGGGGGCTGGGGCAACAAGGTAAAGGGAATAAACAAAAAATGAAAAGAAAAACCTTATAGACAACAGTATGGAGATTACTAAAGGGAAAGGGATGTGGGGTGGGGGAGGGGTAAAGGGGGATAAACGATAATAAAAGGAGACTTGACTTGGGTGGTGAACACACAATACAATATACAGATGATGTGTTGTAGAATTGTACACCTGAAACCTACGCAATTTTATTAACCAATGTCACTCCAATAAATTCAATAAAAATTAACTAAATAAATAAGAACATAAAATCATAAAAATTCAGAATATTCCAGATGATTAGTTGTAGGGGGAGAATCTGGGGACAAAAGCTGAAGAGTTGATGAGGGTACCTGCTCCAAACGATCTTGCATTATATATGGTTTCTTCATTTCATCTTGCTATAGCGAATTCTACTAATTAAAGATTCATTTAATGTATGTTGATTTTTAAAAATTAGAAATCTCTCTAGGAAGACTGAAGAGCTATTAAACACACATCTGGGGTGTGAGTTTGCTCAGCGAGGCTGCTTTCCTCTTCACGTCTGAAAGCATTTGCACTCAGGGGACAGGAGTGTGACTGGCAGCGTGAGGAAGGTAAGAGGGAAGGTGCCAGATGAGGCACTCAGTGACCAAGAAGTACAAAGTGTGAAAAATGTCTTCGTTAATAAGAAATGACCCAATTTCAAATGGCTCCTAAGGCCTATCCTTCCGTTTTTTCCTCCTCTCCCCTTCATCTTGTGCTCTCTTGCACAAAGGGAACCAGGAAAATTGGGACTACAGTTAGGCTACATCATGGATAAACTTGGTGTTTCCGAGCTAGTCTGACGCGCTAAAAATCACCTATCATTGTGATGGCCAAATGCATTCCAAGTTCCAAAGGCCTCCTTTCGAGAGAAATCTTTGGCAATATAAATGTTCATGAGGTTTCTGATACTATGCAGTCAGTAAGTATTTACTGGGTGCCTACTGTGTGCAGACAACGCTAGGTGCTGAAACAATGATTGTACAATGGAGACTCAGAGACTTCATCTCTGCCTTCACAAAGCTCAAGGATCATGTTTGCATTTCAAAGTCTCTGTGAAACGCAGTAAGCCGGCTGAAGGGAAGCAAGATTGGAGTCACCAAATCGAGCAGGAGGCAGCTGCAGAAATGCAAGGAAGGTCTTGGTCCTTAATCTTCACTGAATGTCTCTGAGTAGAAGGATATTAACAAGACTGTAGTCTTTTGTATTTTTGTCCAAACTTTTCATCATTGGGATGATGGGCATTCTTTGCCTCTAGGTTGATAGTAAATAACTGGTTTGGTTTTAATACTCTGTACCAACACCTGTCAGTCTTTGGTTAAGGGCTGCTCGCTCTACATGAGCATGGCCACAGAAGGCCCCCAGGTAGAACAGAAGATGCTGGCAGATGGATATTCTGTCTTGCACTAAAATGATAAGGACAAGAAGAGTATAATTACAGCGTTCATATTTGCTATCCTCCATTGGGGCAGGCAGTGAGTTGGAAATCACCCTATAGGCTGTGGGAAGAACATGAAATCAGGAAAACTGTCGTGGGCTCACCCACTTCCACACCTCTCTCAACCACCTCTAACTGCTCACCTGAGTATTCCACATGCTATGGTGACCCACAGTTTGCAAAATACAGTTCCGGTCCAGCAAAGAGCAAACACTGGTTGAAAGAGCAGACATCCAATTTGTTTATGGAACAAGCATGTGTTATGTTCTCCATGAGGTTTCTCTTGGTTTCACAGTTTTAATTGCTTCTCCTCTTAGTACTTCTCCTTCCACACTTAGAAGTCTGGCTTCTGTGTTATCATTTAGCCATCCCTCTTCCAGGTCATAATCCCAGCATTATCACTGACGCTTTGATTCTGTTTAGAAAATATTATCATCCGTAAAACTCTGCCTTGAGTGCTATGAGGGCCACAAAGAAGACCAGGAGGAATGTGGGACCATCCTTCAAAGGGCATTTCTTTTGACCTTTTCGGGCTCCATTGAAATTTTCTTTTAATTCTCTATTATTAACTCCCTGGCTCTCTCTAGCTCTGCTCTCTCTAGCTCCTGGTTGCCTCTGTAACATGAACTTCCAGGCTCGGGTAGATTGTTACATTAATGGTCACAAATGAATCACAGACTTAATGACTCACACCATTTCCTGAAGATAGCTCCCATCCACCTTGAATCTGAACCTGGCCTTGTGATGTGTGTTTGGCCTGTGGACATCAGTAAACACAACGTAAGCAGAGGATTAATAAGTGCACACACTTTGCAGTTTTCCTCTGTTGGAACCCTGCCACTGCCAGGCAGAGAAGCCTGGCCCCTGCTCCTTGAGGAGGAAAGATCAAGGAGAAGAAGCCCAGCTGTGCTGGCCACCCCAGGGGAGTCCAGCATCCAGAGGATCTGCCCGCTGAATGCAGCCACATGAGAGCCCAGGCAAGAGCCTCAGAAGAACCGCCCAGCCCTGCCACAGCTTCATAAGAAGCAATTGTTTAAGCCAAAGTTTTTTGCTATGAGGCAATCGGTAACTGCAATATATGCCTTATTTTCAGGCCCTTCTCTGATTGTCATGCAAGAGCTCTGTTTTAGTGCTGGAGCTCTTTTGTCAACTCTTCAAGCTGCTATGTGTAAGCCTGCTCTGCAAGAAGGAAGAACATGGGCTCATGAATACCCTTCTGCCATCTGCCTTCTTGGCTATGTGGCCTCAGACAATTTGCTTAACCTTTCGTAATCCAGTTTCCTGCATTAGAACAGTATTGTTCGAAATGTGTTCCACTTGCATCAGAATTCACAGGAGTGTTTGTTTAAAAAAATAGAGTTAAGCAGCTGTTTTCATAAGAGCCACAAACTGGAAAGTGTCAACATCCGATCACTGGTAAAAGGATACAATGCATCCATGCAATGGAGCACTTTTCAAAGGACAGAGCTACTGATACACTTAGTATGGTTGATTCTCTCAGATACTATTTTGAGCAAAAGAAGCCAGACATAGAATACATATTGTATTGTTCTATTTATTTGAAGTCCTAGAAGAGGCAATACTGATTTGTGATTATCAGGCCAAACAAATGGATGGAATCAGAGCAGTGGAACACTGAGTGGGAGGGGGAAGGATAGCCTACAGAGAGGCATGAGGAGACCCACCGGCAATGTGGAGGTGCTCTGTGTCTTGATGCAGGTGTAGGTTACGTGAGTACATGCATTTGTCAAAACATCAAACCATACACTTAAAATGTGAGCATTTTTATATGAAAAGTATACTTCATTAATGAATAAAGACACTGCAGGAAACATGCAGTTTTGGTTGGGCTGGATGCTTCGGTTGGCTCACTCAAACTCGACTTCATGTCCTACCTGGAGAAATTGGGAAGTTGCTGGATGTGAATTGGTTCTGCCAGTTAGGTGTGTTCATGAGTTTCAGAGGTGGAAAGAAGGCAACTCCCCTTTACCATCTTTCCATGGGCTCTGCCCAGTGGGACTGCTGGCAGGGGCTAGACTCCGTGCTCCACCATCGGCTGGGTGGTGGCAGGGGCAACACTGACAGAATGACAGTCAGCAAATCTCCAGATCTCAGCTGTGGGGGAAGGACCTTGACACCAAAGGCCCAGTGGCTTCCTCTCCTCCAGCCCTTCCAACGATTTTGTAAGCACCTCATTCCTTGTTCTAAATCCCTTCCTGCTTTATAACTGCCCAAAACTAAATACCTGGGTCGTATCTGTTTCCTGCACTAAGCCCAAAGACAGAGACCCACCCCAGACCAAATGGACAATGACAGCACCTAGTTCAGGGGGTGACTGTGAGGCTCACATGAGATCCTACAGTTTAAAACATAAAGCACTTGTGTACAGTAGATGCTCAATAAATTAAGTATCTACTAAATATTGGGATTTTTAAAAAATTCATTGATTTTACGGAGTGGAAGGGAAAGAAAGAAACATTAATTTATTGTTCCACTTATTTATGTACTCATTAGTCAATTCTTGCATGTGCTGTGACCAAGGATCAAACCTCTTGGATATCAGGATGATGCTCTAACTAACCAACTGAGCTACCCAGCCAGGGCCAAGTATTAGGATTATTGGGTTAAATCACTGAGATTATTACTGGATGAGATGTAGGAATCCAGGAAAGCCTATGTGTCTGGTGCAGACATGGTCTCGTAGAAAAAACTGGAATGGAACTTCTGGGATCTGGGCTCCAGTTTTAGCGGAGTCGTTAACAGGCCTCTGTATGTATAGACGACATCTTGAGTTGGTCTTGACCTTTCTGAGTTTTTCTTCATCTACAAAATGAAGGTCCTAGAATAAGTGATCTTTTGGATAATCCTAGGGACTTCTGATACTTTCAGGAGATTAGCGCATGGTTGGGTATCTATTTATTCTCCGCATATGCTGTGTTTCTGGTGTGTGGCCCCCACCCCCCTGAGCATAACTGACGGCTTTGTGGGTGGGAACTGACACCTGCTGGGTCCGTCAGACCCCACCCTGGGGACTTTAAATTAGGCTGTTTCCTGGATGAAGAAGGTAAAAACTGGGAGAGGTTGTAGGCAAACCACTTTCTTCCCACTATAGGTAGACTAAGAAGCAAAGAAAGGAGAATTTCAGAGAGAAGAATGAAGCATATCAGCAAAAGGAAGCTGCCTAGGTCCTGATAGCTTTCAAATTCTTTCCTAAGGCTTAGCTGTATGCTTGCCCTTGCATTCCCTGAGACAACCCTATAATGAAGTCCTCCTTTTGGCAGATAAAGTGCTTCCGAGATAAGGTCAAGTTAAAGGAGTTCATCATCACAAAGGCCTTATTATATGAAATGTTAAGGGGACTTATCTAAGAAAAATAAGATCAAAACTATGAACAGTAAAATGACAACAGACTCACAACTATCAACAACTGAACCTAAAAACAAAAAGCAAACAACTAGAACAGGAGCAGAATCACAGAAATGGAGATCACATGGAGGGTTATCAGCAGGGAGGGGGAGGGAAGATAATGGGGGAAAATGTACAGGGAATAAGAAGCATAAATTGTAGGTACAAAATAGACAGGGAGAGGCTAAGAACAGTACAGGAAATGGAGAAGCCAAAGAACTTATATGTATGACCCATGGACATGAACTAAGGTGGATGAGATGAGGGTATGTTGGTGGGAGAAGGGTACAGGGTAGAGGGGAATAAAGGGGAGAAAAAAAATGTAACAACTGTAATAGCATAATTAATAAAATATACTTAAAAAATAAAGCCCTCCTTTTTCTTTAAGCTAGCTTGAAGCCTATAATGAATCATAGCAACCATAGCATTTGTCTGACAATGTAGCTCCCCACACCTGATTTTCCCCTTTTTCTTAAATTGAGGGAATTCCTCCCCCAATCTCCATAAGGTTGTAGGAGGACAAACCATCATGTGTGCTTCCCCTCAAGGGTGGGCACAATTCAGGCAAGCCAATCATGGCCCCCAGCCCTCTGGCCACAATGATTGGTTGGTGTTCAGGTACATCACCCACTCAAGGCCAATCAATGCTTTCCCTAGCTTAATCTAGGGACTTAGAAGGAGAAGTTCCTTTTCTGCTAAGGCAGCTACACTGAGATGTTGTCATTTGGGGACACTCAGCACCATTTTACCCTCTTTGTGAAGAGACACTGTCTGAAACCAAGCAGAGACAAGCCAATCTAAGAGAGGGACCTCTGAAGATCTCATTTGAGCCTTAGATTCCATCCTGACTAAAATCAGATCCATCCTAGACTTTCTGGTCATATAAGCCAATCAATTTCTTTATTTAAGTCAGCAGGAACTGGGTTTCCATCACTTGCAACCCAAACAGCTCTGACTCATTAAAGTTTATGCCTATTATTTGCCACCAATATTCTAATAGAGCAATATATACAAATACAGGGTTTTATGAAGTCTTAGAGTTCAGACAACTGCCCTGTAGAATTAACGAGACCACCATGGCACCAGGGGTTTCCAAATCATGCTTATAATTCCTCCAGGTGCACTTGCTGCAGCTCTGTCAGCCTTGGGTCTTTGTTATGGTTTGAACTGTGTACTTGCACACCACCCTCCCACCCACCCCATGAAAAAAGGAAAAATATATGTTTGAGTTAGGACTTATTTGGAAAGACAATCATTGAAGATGTAATTAGTTAAGATCGGGTCACACTGTAGTAGTTTGGGTCCCTAACCCAATAGGACCGGTGCCCTTGTAAGAAGACAGCCACATGAACACAGAGACCAGGGAGAATGCCACTCGAAGAGGGGGGAGCGCAGTGATGCAACTGCAAGCCAGGGAACACCGAGGCCACCAGGCCTGGGAGAGAGCCACGGGAGGGGTTCTCCCTCCAAAGGTACCAAGTCTGCTGGCCTCGGCTTTGGAGTTGTAGCCTCTATCTAGGTTGTGGTAATTCGTTGCAGTGCCCCAGGGAATTACAACACTTCCCCAACCAGGAAGCACTTTGGGTGACAGGTACAGGGCTGTAATAATGTTTAGGTCAGAACAACTGTGCTTATACCGCCTTCTTACTCCTCCACTTCCCTTTCACAATTTGTTTTCCGTTTGCTCTAGGGAAACTGGAGGCCTAGCTGGAAATTCTGATAAGGTGGCCCACAGTCCACCCCAGTGAAAATGAGTTCAGAGCCCAGTTTCCAAAGGACTCAAACACCTTAAGAAACTGTCATTCGTGACTGGGAGGTGGGAGAACGGAGGCAGGGAGAGCCACATGCCTTGGCAGAGCCAGCAGCAAGACAGGCACCCACCAGCTGGCACCCAAGGCCCCCTTTTCAGCATCCGCGTCTGGGCAGTGTGTGTGGTTGCCATCCCAGAAAACACAGAAATTTTCCTTCTTTTTACCCAGCAGCCAGCCCCAAGCCCAGCCCTGCTGCCGGACAGCAAACCCAGGACACTGGAAAGGGAGGGAAGGGGAGGAGAACAAGAAATGAAGCAAGTACAAAACCCAACATCTTTGAGGAAAGACCCCAGTTCACCACCTGCTCTCCGCAGCGAGCTGGCAGAAGAGGGGGATGACCTGACACTTCACCAGCACAGGATAAAGGCGCCTCTGCAGAGAGCAGAGTGGCTCTGTCGGGAATGCAGCCTCGGAGAGCTGCGAGAGATTCAGAAGATGAGGGGCTAATTGTTATTCAAATACTTTTCTTCTAGAGTTTTTCTTCTGAAAAGACCACAGTCTCCTTATTCGTTAGCTAACCCCTCACTCTACCTCTTGGGAGGACCTCCCGCCCTGGACACCCCTGACCCTCCAGATAATTGTCAGAGTAGCCGCTGAGTACAATTTCAAGTCTCATCAGAGAGGCAGTATGGAGGGGTGTGGAGACACCTTCCTACTGAAAAAGAATACTAATATAATACTTACTAAAGACTAAGAAAATGCCAGTTGTGGCTTTAGAAAAAAGTCTCCTTGTAGATGTCAGAAACTTGATTCCCAGCAACAGCTCCATTCAATTGGGTTTATTAATTTAATATTGAAGTGAGATCTGCACCAAAGAGTAGGTCGAACTGATCTCGTCCTTTAATCCTGACCGAGATCTCACAGCAGTGAAAGAATCCAAACCAGCCTTCTGTGTAAGATGAGCGCCTCCCCCAGACACTGTCAGTGAGGGCAGCCTCTGCTCTCCGTCCCTGGCCCAGATCTGCCCCGTGCCTCAGGGCTCAGCCCCACCCCGCCCTCACCCTCCTCTTCACTTACCCCAGAGCCAACCTGAGCCCTCAGCCTTTGGAAAATAAGAGAACTATGGGATGGGCGCACACCACAAATTTGTCACCAGCTTCAGAAAGGTTGCTATCTCCAAGGCCACCAAGATTGTCATAGAGGAGAGAAATGAAATCCTGGGTGTAGGATTTTTTGGGGGGTGGGGGCGGGCATTAAGCGATATACCACTGAAGCATGCCTAATCTACAAGCTGGAATTATCCTTAAGGACAACCTACCATACCATGTGCCAGCATTGCTGTAGATCCAGTGGAAATACAGCCAAAAGACCCCGGGGGGGAGGGGGGGGACCCACAGCAGGGTTCTGGGTGGCTGCCCTGGCCCCAGCTTGTGTCCGCACTCCTGTGCCTCACCCATACCCCTCTGGGCACCTCTTTCTAGTGCCCATCTCCTGAGGGATTAGTTTCATCTCATTCTAGGTACTTCTCTTTTGCAGTTCTAGAAGGTTTTGCTTTTGCTCATAAGAGGAAACAGGAAAAAAAAATGACTCCATTTTATCCCCCTTCAGATAGACTCTCTAAGAAAAAACCCAGTGGCCCAAAACTATTAGGTCCTTAGTGACCTAGAATACAGTGTCCATGTACCAATGACGCAAAAGGGTACACCACAGCAACTGCCAGTCTGGCCACTGTAGATTTCACTTAATGAGAGAAGGGACGAAGTAAAGGTGGGGATAGATCCAGACCCCTCTGGGAAGCAATGACCAAAGAGAGAAGAGCAAGAAGGGGAGTCCCAAGTGTAGCCGGGGCCACCAGGCATTCTCGGGTCGGTGATGTGAAGGGCGTCCCCACCCAGGCAAATAAGTAGCATCTTCCTCAGGGTAATCACTTGGGAAGATGAGATTCTTATTCCAAAAGTGGAGCCCTTTGTTATAAATACCTAAGAAACCCTCTGCAGCCTTTAGATTTCACACTTAATTGTTCTCGATGTCCTCAGTAATGGCAAGTCTTCAGGACACATTTGATGACAAGCAAGTCTAGCCAGACTCGTGGAGTGAAGCCTAGCCAATAAGCTGAACAATTCCCTTTTAGGTCAAACTCCGGCTGTGGTTGGCTCAGTGATTCTCTCCGAGGCCTTGTAAAGTGGCCCCGAGGGGAGGAGTCCAGGCCTGTGGGATGCTGACCATCATGCCCGCCTGTCAGCAGGGCCTTGACACTGTTAGGTCCAGTGTCCCAAGTGCTGTCCAGTGGGGTCAGTGCCACTGAGAGGAGAAGTCCTTACCCTTTGAAGACAACTTTTCTGGGTCTGTGGCAGCCTCATGTTTGAGTCCCAAGTCTTGTCTCCAGCCTCAGCTCCCCATTAGAGGTCCTTCACCAGGTCCTCCACAAACCTGCCATTCAGGACCATGAGCGATTCCTCCAGACACCCCACTGAGGCTCCGTGCGTCCTTCTAAGTCACTCCAACAAAGGGAATACCCAGAGCAAAAAGTGAGTGCCCCTTCCCCATCCTCACATGCCTGGCTATTCCTATTAACAACCTAGAGTGTATTCTTCCACTTATCTTTTCTCTGTGGACTCAAGCCTGCTCTTATACCTAGACCAATGCCCATATTTTGCATGCCATATATGTGGCACTGCAGTGGCCACAGTGACTCACCCTCTGCAGAGTCTTCAGTAGGTTGTGATTACATTGGGCCAGGCAGGCTTAATTTCAGAGTCTGGAGATCTCTTGGTGCAGCCACAACCAGGGTGAGTTGTAGGACGTACTGCTTACTGGTTCTAGGACCAGGATCTGCTCTGAAATTGGCCCCGTCCTGGCTGTGCCACCTGGGCCAACTTCCTCTGTTCTTCAATTTCATTACCCAGTGAAGACAGAGTTGAGATGAGAGGGAAAATGCCCTGGGAACCAATCTGTAATGGAATGGAATAGAGAAAACTGTATTGATTAGTATTCTGCTCAGGGAACAGAATGCCGTTTAAAGGAATATTTTGATAAGCTTGTTCAAAGAACAGAAGAATATTTCTGTGTTACCTACTTGCTGCCTTGGCCTGTCCAGCATCCATTTCCCTCTGTTTTGGTACCAGAAGCCGTCTTTTCCTTGGGAAACTGCTTCCCCTACTTTCAGTGCATGTGGTTTTGGAATCAGACTCCTATATAGTTTGACTCCACCAGGCTCTAGGAGTTGGCATGTGACCTAAGCATGGCCAATCAGGGCAGCCCGTCCCTCTGGGTATAGTAACTGATTTCTGGTTGGGTAAATGGCCCAAATCAATTCTGTTTTTCAACTCTTTGGGGATATTGTTGGAAACTATTAGAAACACTTTCTATTGGGACTGCTGAGAAGATAGGATGTAAGCCAAGAACTTTACATGCTCTCTTGACACCATCAGTAGGGGACTCTGCTGGAGAATGAAGCAGGAGAAACAAGACCGGAGATGCAGACCAGAAATGATGAGCCTCAATGGCATCAGTTAAGCCCTGGGTCCAGCTAGGCCCAAAATGAGATGCATCTTTGGACTTTTCCTTTAAATGAGTTAAGGAAGTTAAGGAAGCACATACCAACACACATCATAATTAAACTACCCAAGATGAAAGATAAGGAGAGACTTAAAAGCAGCAAGAGAAAAGGAGACAATTACCTATGAAGGAGTTCTCATAAGACTGTCAGCTGATTTCTCAAAAAAAAAAAAAAAAAAAAAACTTTGTAGGCAAGAAGAGCCTGGAAAGAAGTATTCAAAGTCATGAAAGGCATGGACCTCCATCCAACATTACTGTATCCGGCAAAGCTCTCATTTAGAATGGCAGGGCAGATAAAGTGCTCCCCAGATAAGGTCAAGTTAAAGGAGTTTATTATCACCAACCCCTTATACACAAAATGTTAAAGGGACTTATCTAAGAAAAAAGAAGATAAAAAATATGAACAATAAGCCCTGGCTGGTATAGCTCAGTGGACTGAGCACGGGCCTGTGAACCAAAAATATGAACAATAAAATGACAACAAACTCATAACTATCAACAAATGAATCTAAAGAAAATAAAAACAAAAACAAACTAAGCAAACAATTACAATAGCAGCAGATTCACAGAAATGGAGATCACCTGGAGGGTTATCAGTGGGGAGTGGGTAGGGTAGAATGAGGGTAAAGGTACAGGGAATAAGAAGCATAAATGGTACGTACAAAATAGACAGGGCAAGATTAAGAACAGTATAGGAAATGGAGAAGCCAAAGAACTTACATGCACAACCCATGGACATGAACTAAGGTGTGGTGGGGGGAATGCGGGTGGGAGGGGGGTATGCAGGGTGGAGGGGAATAAAGGGAAGAAGAAATAGGACAACTGTAATAGCATAACCAATAAAATATATTTAAAAAACAAAAAATAAATAAATATGGAACAAATAGTTAAAGAACATAATTTGAAAGGCCACCAAGTTATGACCTGCTAAGCATATTCACATGTCACAGTTCAGAGCTCAAAAGTGTTGAGTTCACGTTCCGATTTCTCCACAGATCAATGTGACTTTGAGTGTGTTTCATAGCTTCTCTCAACCTAAATACAGTGTATCTGCCTGTGAGCATGAAATGAGAAACGTTCATGGAAGCGTGCTGAAATCCATAAAGCAGTCGGGGAAAACCTGCACATGTGCCACACTGGGAGGCTGCTGCTTGAGGAGGAAGACCTCCTGAAAGAAGAAAGCAGCACTTCATCTCAGAGGGAGAAGGCTCAGTTTAAACAAGAGTTTAGTAACAACAGACCAGTGATGCCAAATGGAACTTCATCTCTGAGTGATGACTGAGAATGGCTCAGCGACTGAACTGACCTCATCCCCCCCCCTTCTCTAGCCTGACTTACCCCCGACCCACCCACACACATAAAAGCAGAGAGTCAAGGTTAGTGCCAAGAAGTTCAAACTTTTCAGACCATTCCAGAATAATCACATGGCCAGAGTAGGTAACTGAGAGGAGACTACTGCTGGGGAGAAAATACTTATACGAAGCACGGGACCTCTATCAAACATCTAAAGTTCTCATACACTTGTTTTCCACATGATAGAACCTGCTGATTGAGAAAGCACTTAATGGAACAAGTGCGAATTCAGTAATGCTTTGAATGAATTCATGGATTGTTTATAATGGCAGTGGTGCTTAGCACTGGCAAAGAGTCACGAAAGAACGGACAAGTCCTATCACGTGTGCTCTGCTCACAGCCCTCTAGGGGTACAGGATCCCCGGCAAACGAACAAGACAAGTGAGCAGGGCGGCCTCGGAGGGCCTGGAGCAGCGGACCCGAGGTCACTCTCGGGGCAGCCCCCTTTGTTTTGCCAGAGCTGTTTTCCACCACACACTCTTGCTCTGAGGTTGTTTTCCACTTCCTGCCGCACTCCTCTTCCTCTCAGGTAGTTGGTCAGGGAGTTCAGGTTCTCTTCAGTACTTCCTCACTGGGGTCGCAAATTCACGTCTCTGATCGAATCTTTGTTGCTATTTCACTTTCTGAACTCCCAAAAGACAAAACTTAGGACTGCAAATAGCACCCCCTCAGGTTGCTAAGAAGGGCAAGAGTGTATTTATCTTTGACGTACAGCAGCGAGTTTCAGTCTTTTTCATCTCATGGCACGCTGAAACTAATTACTGAAATTCTGTGGCCACCAAAAAATACACACTTTTTGCCGATCTGACAAAAAAATAAGTATCATTTTGATTCATTTATGTCAGATGGCTACTATGTTGGCTGTTGTCATGTTTAATTTGACAATTTGAAGAAAAAAGAGGTCAGTGCCCCTGAATAATCAGGTGTTGCATGTTGGAAAAATTCTTGTGGCACAGGGGTTGGAAATCACTGACATACAGCTTTAAAAAATACCCATATTAAGTTCTATATTGTAAAGAAGACACTCAGAGAGTATTTGGACAGGCTATTTTCTGGAAAGCCCTTCAGCAGAGAAGTAGGGGCGGCAAGGACTCGTTTTAAGTGCAAGAGTCTCTCTTTATAAGCCCATTTAAAAAGCCCAAGCCCTCTTCCCATTCCCAGGTCCGAGGCCTCAAGGACCCTGTCTTTGCATCTTAGTGGTAGCTGGCAGGTGGTGGTGCCCCGGTCACAGGTCTCTGAAAACCTGGGTGTTTGGGGGCTCGGGCTTGGCCTCAGAAGTGCGGCCAACCATTTCCTCATGGGGGTTCCTCCCCAGAGGTGTCTCCCTGACCCATTACCAAGACGTGGACTAAGCTTCCACAACGCTCTGGCACTTTCCCTGCCCCCCACCCCCCACATGACAGAGGTCATGTTTTCTGACCTCTTCCTGCTGAGAGCTTAAGTGGTCTCCACTGCCATCTTAAGGCTCTGAGCCAAAAAGAAAACAATGACTCCCAAGAAACTGAAGACATTGTAATTATCGTAATTATCACATGATGGAACAATAAATAAAAGTCTCAGCCTGTCCACATCCCTGAACCCTTTAACTCCCAGAAGCCCGGACAAGAAGGGCAGATGGCAAAGGGCTGGGTGGGCTGGTGGCCATGGGTGTGAAGCTCACGCTGGTGGAGGCGACACCATGGGTGGGGCCAGGGTTCATTAGATATGGGCTTGGGTTTCCCACCAGGTTCCATATAACTGCTTGGCTTCACACAAACTGTAATAAAGAATGAAACAGTTCATTTTCCCCTAAAAACTCCTATTAGGCCGAGAATCCTTAGAGTGTGATCTGCAGAGTAAGAAGACTACATGCAATTCTTTTGTGGGTGCGTGGGGGTAGCAGGATATGGAAGGTTCCACGGTCAAGTCAGCTTACGAAGTGGCAGGTTAGACAGATTCAACTGCGGACTTCTCAGAACCATGCTAATGTGCACTGTGATTCTCTGAGTGTGGACTCAGGATGCAGTGTTGTTTACACCTCCATGGAGCCCCTTCCAGGGACAGCCCCACGAGGCTCTGGGAAGTGCTGCAGTGCACCTAGTGGGCTCTAAATTGGCGGTGAGCACAGTGCTCTGGCCCCTAACCTTGCCACCAGCCTTGAAGGAGGGCAAAGGTGCAGGAGTCTCAGGCACTCGTCCGACATTTTAGAGGCAGGCATCCCGGAAAGATTACCCCCATCGGTGGGGTCTCCTCTTTCAGGAGGAGGAAGGAGCCCCAGCTACATCACAAGTCACTTGTGTGTCTGTTGTTTTTCTCTGAGGAAAGATGCAGAAGAGAGGAACAGAGGGGATGCCTCATTTTTATTTACCTTGGAGCTAATGGGAAATCACAAGAGTTGTACCTGAAATCCTTAATATAACTAAATATACATGTATTAACCCATAAATGTATATGCATATGAGGGGGTCCCCCCAGAACTGGGATTATCTTTTGGAGGGTGGGCCTCCTGTAGCACAGGCTTCCCCCGCCAGGGTATTCTAGGAACTCATTTGTCTCATTGCCCCAACGGGGGTTGCTGTGAGAAGATGCTTTTGGCTTCAGTGAATTTTTTGAAGACTCAACGCATTTGCCCATTTCATGATGGGGATTTACGAGCACACCTACCCACACCATGCTGAGTGTTCAGAAATTTTTGACCAAAAACGGCATGACCCCATGCCCCACCCTCCCTATTCACGATTGTACCCTGAGCATCTTTTTTTTGTTGTTTCCCCAGATGAAAAAGTCCTCAAAGGGAATGTTTTGCTGATGTGGAAGAGGTGAAACAAAAAACAGCAGAAGCATCAAAATCGATGTGTTCAAAACCTGTTGTGAGTGGTGGAAAAACATCTTGATAGGTGTAGTGCATCACATGGAGAGTACTTTGAAGGTGACTGAAGGTAAACATGTAAGAATACCCACACAATTGTTTATAAATAAATTCCAGGGGGTTTTAAATCCCCCTTGTGTGTGTCTCTATGTGTGTATGTATAAGATAAAACTATAAAAACAGAACAATGCA